CCTATTATCGCGTTTTATAGAATTAGGCAATTTTATCGCCATGTTCTTGGAATCAAACATAAAACCTAAAAATTTACATTGAGTATATGGTTCCAGGCAGCTTTTCTCTTTGTTTACTATGAAACCCAAGCTTTGGGTCGTTTCAAGTCAAGTTTGTAGTTAAGACTAATAATCCTTTTGTATTCTAAAAACGAACATCCAATACAAAATATATTACCAAGATATATCACAGATGTCATTTCATTAATTGTAAGAAATTCTATTACTGGTACTATATACTATCATTCATTTAGTAAAAACATAAGGTGCTGTGCACAAACCGAACGCTAGGCAATTGCATTCAAAAAGCGCATCATTATCTTTAAAGTGAAGGTATTTTTTATGAGATTTATGTATAGCTGCAAGAAAATAAGCGTCTTTTAAATCTATAGAAGCCATAAAACAGTTTTTGGTTATCAATTTTGACGCTGTTCGGTAATCCTTCATCTTAAAATGTCGCGTTTCTACGAACTAATTTAAGCATTTAGATTAAATATAAATATATTTTCATCGTTCGGTTTTGGTACTAAAAATACACTGGATATGAATTCGCTTTCTTTATGTGCGCTCCACCAAAAACTTGAAAGAAAACGAAAGACAATAATGCACCACTATCTAGAAGGGTTTTAATTGACTTGTTAAAATTATGGGCTTCGTGGGATGTTTTTGGGGTAAACATCACTAGTACAATATGGCGTAATTTTAAATGGTATTTGACAACCTTTCACCAAAGATGGAATAGTTTTGTCTCAATTTGTCTATAAGTTATTTCAGCCCATTTATGGGCAAACTACTGAAATTGTCCCGAAAAAGATACCTCATGTATTCCGGCGAGACATCGTCCACTTGATTGACGGCGGGCGGCGTGAGTGCTGGCTGCCTGCTGCAGTTACACCCGCGGGCGCGGCGTTGATCGCTGCCCTCGCCCTGTGTTGTAAATTTGCGGCTGCAATTTGTTGTCTACCTTGCGATGTTAGTTTAGGTAGTTTAAATGGCCAGTGTTGCTGTTGATACTGAAACTAGAGCGGGAAAGTATTAATAGACGAAATTATGGAACCTCTACGTGTTTTTGATTCCATAAAATGACTATCGCAAAGAATGAGACAGGCGTCGCTTAAAGGTTTTAAAACTTTTTGTATGCCACGTTCGTCCGAAATGATCATATTGGCGACAGCACCTAAGGCTACAATGGCGACACCTAGCTGCTTTTCTTTGAACAAAAGTGACGAGTCTCATTTTATAGAGGTCTTCGTTAGGGCTGCTTAAACCCCCGAGTTTAGAGCTGGTGCAATCAGGAGGTCACAGTTGGAGGGTATAGGATAAGTCTTCAAAAAACTTTCTTTCACGTCTTTTACCAACCCTTTAGCAAGTAGGTCTTGCCACCGATTGGCTATATCCTTATGGATTGCTGGACCCATTGGGGTCTCGGTCTTAGGTGCATCACCAAGCAAAACCAGTATGTCTTCATCGAGTTGCTCCTATAACACTATCGGCTTTGAAGGTTCACTGCCAGTTGAAGTTCCAGGTGTTGAAGAAATCGGTCTTTCGTCAACCTGCGGTTGCGGTGACTGTGGTGCCATTCTCGGTACCGGCAATTTTGGGAACGTCGGCGGTAGAGAACCAGTTCCTGGAGAACAATTTCCTGACAAGATGGGCACACGTAGATGCACCTCCCCATCAAACAGAAAAGGAGACTCCTCGCATGACGCTGGTGACAAAACGTGGCACGTGCTCAGCGGATGCAGCGGTGAATCTGCAGCAAACAAATCTTATTAGAAATGTTTGTAAAAAAAATGTGACAGTATCAGCCCAATATTAGCAGTACGCATCACTTTTTTTTCGTGACAGAGGTAACCCAAATAAGTTATCTCGCATCAAAACTTATATTTTTTATTTAGATCAATAATGATGGAAGTAGCCCAAATCTAGCAGAACGCATCAATGTATTTAATCTAAATTATAAAACTTACCGCTTAATTCCTCCTCAAACAAAGATTCTTTCGTATCGGTAACTTTGTTTAACTGTTTTGTCTTCACTTTTTTCCTGTTTTCTTTTTCTTCTCATTATTTTGCCGAAAATTAGTCAACTTTTGTACAATAAGGCTAGAGAGACGTGCGAAGCCTTGAGCACGGAGATACAGAATAACTCGAATGGAAATACGCGACCCGAGCTAGGCAAGGGTAGTGTTGCCAGCATTAGTAGTGATACCAAACAAAAAAAAATACTTTTAAAAATCCGTCAAGCCTAGTACATGGAGGTGCTACTAAAATACGTTAACAATAAATCGCAAAGAATCAAGCCATGAAACATAATTTGCTTACTGATTATTTTCATATAAATTAGTACTTTACACGTGATACGTTAACAAACAAACAGACAGACCGACATACAGACAGACAATTATAAAAATGGTAGTAATGTATTTACTTACTTATTTTTAGCCCCCCCCCCAATCACTTTTATTACAAAGATATAAAATCTACAGACATGTGTAATTTACATTTTTATTATATGTTTTTTTTTATTGTACAGGAGTGACAAACGAGCACACAGTCCACCTGATGGTAAGTGGTTGCTGTGGGCCATAGACTACATCTTTCCTCGATTACGAATCAAAATGCTGATGCGTTGTCACCCGTGAGGACTAAGATGGAATGCCTCAATTCCAGTAAATTGGGTCTCCGGTTCTCTACACTCACCATACGAAGCACTGGTATTTCACGCTGGAATTTTGTGAGAGCGTGGTCCTTCCCTGGTCGAGCCGACCCATTTTTGCTACAACTATATTACTAATGTAACTGCAGCATGGCTCTATCACGTCAACATGTAGAATAGATTTCAGTAGAGTCACGCTACAGCTGTTTAGTGGTTGCAATACGAAAGGAAAGTCATACAAGTATATAGCAAAATCTCCCTCACCTGAGATAGTATATACATCTTGCACTCAATGAAAGCAATGCTCATCGTCAAAAGAAACATGAGGCTTAAAACTTAATATTTAATCTAACTTATAAACGTCTACGCGCCTACTAATACACGGAATTAGCACCGACAGTTAAATTTGCAATTTAAATAGCTGTAATTAAAATGTGTCAACTACGGGTAGTTCGAGGTTCGTTTTCGTTTCGAGGGTCGTTTATACTTACAATCATCTGTAACCCGTTCATTTTTTTGAAATATTCGTTATGAAATGCTTTACTTGATAGGGTGGAGACTGTACATCATGTAGGCGAGTCCCGTCACGTGCCCTCCTCGGTTCCTCGGTACCTCAGTGCCTTAGTACTTCAATACCCAGGTACCTCGGTAGCTCTGTAGACTAGACTTTGTGTAGTTTTGGTAATTTAGTAATTAATTATGAAAAATATTGTGGAAATGACTATATCTCACAGAACACCAGCGTCAAATGGTAGCTCAATGCTGCTGAACAGAAATGTTTCATATGGTGAGTGTAGAGAACCGGAGACCCTTTTTATTAAAAACTGGGCATTCCATTATAGTCCTCCATGGTGACAACACATCTGCATTTTGATTCTTAATTGAAGATAAATTTATATGTCGATGGGCCACAGCATCCATTTACCATCAGGTGGACTGTGTTCTCATTTGTCACCATATCCTATAAAAACATTCTTATATATGATCAAATAAAGTTCAATTAAGGTGAACAAATAGTCAAGAATAATATAAACTAAGCTAGAACCAGCCAAAAAACATAAAACTTGTTTCGAATGTTGCAGAGCCGAGTACTAAAAAAAGTAAAGTATTAAAAAACTTTAGGTTACAAAGTTAGATTTTTCCAACTTCTCCATTTTATTTTATTAGTTGCTTACTTTGATACTGAAGTAACAGACAGACAAATAAACTAACTAGCAACTAATTGTCAGTGAACTTATCAAATTAATTTAATTTATAATTAAATTACAAACAAACTTAACAAATTATCATCATCGTAATCACCATCATCATCATGACAGCAGCTCTTCACAAGTTCACTGCTGAACATAGGCCTCCCTCAAGAAATCCAAATAATTTAGATTAATTTAAATACTTAAATACAAATAATTTACGTTTATATAGCAGCTTAATTGTGAGCTGTGTTTGGTATGTTGAGTGTATAGAACGGGAGACACTTTTTTAATAGAAACGAGGCATTCCATCTTAGTCCTTAAGGGTGACGCATTCGGAATTTTGATTCTTAATCAAGGATGCATGTGGTGATCACATTATAACGGTCTCCCCCCTCTATATAAGAATTTTATAATATTAAATATTAAATATATCCCCTTTTCAATAACATTATATATATGTGACCAGGATTAATAAATTATGTTTAGATCTTTCTAAATGATCTTTCTAAAGGTTTAATAATAGGCCGTTTGTAATATTTTGGCGTGATCGTCTTAGTTAGGACCCTTATTTACGTTGTGTTTGTTTAGTAACTTAGTTCTTTTAGGTGTCCTTTGGAAGAATGAATATTCACTAGAGCAATTGAAAGCTGTTGGTATTGGCTTATAAGCTAAGTGAACCCCCTTCACGAAGACAGGGCTCGAGAAAGGTTAAGAACGTAAAACGTCTTTATTCCACTTGTATCAGGTTGACATTATTAATTTATTATTATTTATCCCTTCCCGCTTGGAAAAGGCTCACAATATATTTATACAAAAATACCCGATACAAGGGCTTCGCTCTCCTACATTTATTAAAAAAAATGTAGGGGAGGTACACGGCCCCACACACGCCGTGCACGGTGAGTGCCAACCATTTTGATGCACTCCCCCCGTAGGGAACGCTAATTCGGGAACTGGACCGTAGTCCACAGCAAAATAACTGGCGAACCAGTAAAAGAGGCTTGGCCCCTTGTTAGTGCGTAAGCACAAACATCGACCGAAGTCGCGCATGTCAATGCGTGTAAACGCCATACAGAATACGAACGAATCCAGCCACAATGAATGTACGTCACACGGTTTAGGCAAATAGGCACACTGGCCGTAAACCCTCCGTGAGCGCCACCACCTGCCAGACCACCGCTCCTGCAGACGTGATGTAAGTGTATGGCATCACCACCAATTGCATGATCAGCACGGCTACTAGCCGCAGAGCGTGTCATGAGTCTACCGCTCACCTCAAGGGAATGGGGTCCCACGTTGTGCGGCTTTCGGCCGCAGCCTTGAGAGTCTCCTCAGATCCTCCCGCCAGCTACCACCCGCATGAGGTCGACACATATGCTCCACCAACCAATACAACGGCAGATATAGCCAAAAGGCAGTTATAAGATAAGAGTAATAATTCGCCATCAGAAAGGGTTTGTGTCACTGACGTTGAGTAAATGCATTTTCGATCATGTTTGTCTCACCCACCAACAAGTTGCCTTCAATCATTCAAAGGTGGGAAAGTTACAGAGATATAATATTACGTTGTTATATAAAACATCGTGGAGGGCAGACAGTCTGCAGCCCCGCAATGAAGGGACCCGACTTGGGCAAAGCTACTTAGGTGTGAGTCAAACCAAGACGCAGAGAGCGCCATTGAGAATAGCGTCCCACCAAACAACCATCGCAGAGACGCAATGCTGCAGAACGCAACAAGCATCAATACGACTATCGTCGGGCTTACACCATCCCAAGGTCCCCCATACATCCCTGCAGACATCACCACCCGCATACCTCCATCGACCAGAACCACAAGAGAGCGTCGAATAAGGCGCAGCACACCCGCAGATCCATCACAAGACGCAATACCGCAAGTAGCAGTAAGCATCAAAGCAACTATCATACGGGTGGCGCCCCCTCACAACACACCCACATGACTCTTATCGACTTTGGTAACAAAGTTGGTATTGTTGTTATATAAAAAATATCACCAACGTATCATAGTAGCACGCTACTAAGACGCCAATGAACAAAACTCCACGTATCATAGCGCTAATGCACTAAGACATGAAGTTGAGTATGACTGTTACACTTAAAAGTGCTACCATACACACTCATCATCCCAATCCGAAAGATAGACGACACATCGCTATGCGCAACGACGTCGCCCACAAACGGTATGGGTGTGCGATGTCCACGGGAAAGCCGTATTGCTACAACAAACCCGCTTACCACCAGCACTAAGATGTTAATTGTATACCTCCATCGACCAGAACCACAAGAATGCGTCGAATCAGGCGCAGCACACCCGCAGATCCATCACAAGACGCAATACCGCAAGTTGCAGTAAGCATCAACGCAACTATCATACGGGTGGCGCCCCCTCACAACACACCCACATGACTCCTATCGATTTTGGTAACAAAGTTTTTATTGTCGTTATATAAAAAATATCACCAACGTATCATAGTAGCACACTACTAAGACGCCAGTGGACAAAATTCCACGTATCATAGCGCTAATGCACTAAGACATGAAGTTGAGTATGACTGTTACACTTAAAAGTGCTACCAAACACACTCATCATCCCAATCCGAAAGATAGACGACACATCGCTATGCGCAACGACGTCGCCCACAAACGGTATGGGTGTGCGATGTCCACGGGAAAGCCGTATTGCTACAACAAACCCGCTTACCACCGGCACTAGGATGATATGTCTAGGACACATCGGTTAGCGAGTCCAAGTTTACCTCGGACCAATTGCTCGTGAAGCAGCACACACGCCACCATAATATTCCTTTTCAAGTCCCTAATAAGGACTAGTCATTTTGCTACAGTACTAGGAGCAGTCAGTCACCCGACCACCCCATACAATGCTTATGCATCAAGGAGACCTCCTATAA